TAAATCTGAGTTTGATACATTCTATTTTAGACATAAAGGAGATAACTAGGGATAGCATCACCAGCTTCTTCACTAGCTCTTGCCAAGTCCTGAAAAAGGAATTAACCATCTGAAAAGCAGACTTATCTCCCTCTCCTAATATGAAAGTTACATTTTGTTGTAGACATATATAGAACTCTATAAAAAAGCCTCTAAGGCTTGCGAAGGTCCAGTGAAGGCCCATAAAGATGACCAAAGGACTGGGAAACCTGCCATGTGAGGAATGCTGAAAGAACCGAGTCTGTTCAGCCTGAGCTGTGTTCCTACCTAGAAAGGTTGGACCAGATAATCATTGAGGTCCCTTCCAACCTGGCATTCTATGATTCTATAATAAAAATCAAATTCTATGAGGATAAAGCTTCTAAGAACAGCTGGAATTTGGTACACTATATTCTCACATATATTTTAACAATAATCTGGGCCTGCCCTTTCTCCTCCTCTTCTCCCTACAGGAGAACAAACAATGGACAAAAAATTGGAAATTTTGCTCAAGTCATTTAGTTACCCCACAAAAAATGCAACTGTGAATCCCTGTCATACACATGCATACTGCTGAACATTCCAAACAGCAATATTAGTTACCCAGAACTTAGTTAATGCTACCAAACATGCAACTTCATTGTTACTGTTATTCTTGATTGCTATTTGCCAGACTGCATTATTTCTCAAAGATTTTAGTTTAACTAAACTTGACAGATTATGCTACAAACTTGACAGACTATGCTACAAAGAAAACTAAGTGCCTGTTTTGTTTCTTTAAAAGCATTTGCTGGCTCCTAACTCCCTACAACACAGGAGTGATGAAGATTTATTCCTCTATCTGAAATACAGCAGCATTATTATTTTTTTTTAATTTAAGACATGGATGCTAATTAAAGACCAGCATTTGAATGGGCAGTGGCTCCCTCCTCAAAGGAAAAGCAGCAGCTTAATGCTACAAAATCTCTTCTGCTGCAACTGGATGGGATTTGCATAGCTGCATTTGGAGTCAACTGCACAGATGCAATTGATCCATCGTGAATTCACAAAGTTACAAGTTTTCACTCTCCCCCACTGGATAGCTTTTCTCCTCCCCTTTTTTAGCAATCAGAAAAAGTAGGATTCCAAGGAAGTCTTGATCTGATCAGAAGCCTTTTGTTGTGAACATTGTTTCCATCAACCTCCCTAGAAAATGAAATTCCAGTATTAAAAAGGGCTGCAGAATGTTCTTATAGTGGTTGGGCCAAAGGACTATGACAGCTCCGACAAACCCTAAAAACTGTTTTGATATTTTGAATATAACTACTGAAAATTCTTAGATCTCTCAACTACGCAGAACACCCATGCCTAAGGAAGGCTTTACCCCTATTGCAATGGTATCAGAAACAAGTAGATCCTTTCTAAAGGAAATCTTCTGAAGAGTATCACAGTCCACCAGCAAAACTCCAGATACATTACAGAAACACTAGTCATTGCTCCACAGCAGAGACAGGTTTGGGTTTTGTATTATCTCACATTTCCATGTGAGGAAAGAGATGTAACTAAGTCCGCCTACTCAAGAGTGGTTCTGAATGTTATTTTTGAGGCAAACAAAAACCATGATAGTTATCTAAAATGGCTACAATCTGCTAACATCCCAGTAGAGCTGAAAGCTCTGGCTTCTCCTGTCAAAGGTGGCTAGAAAACTAGATCTCTCCCTTTTCTCTTTGCCGAAGAAAAACTCATAAGGCCGTCATCTCCTCCTCTAGCAGCCTAAAGCAAAGAGAAATACTAAATCTTCTTACAAAAAAGATCTCTCGCCATACCAGAGTAACTGGGAAAAAGACATGAGCACAGCCTTTGAGAGCTCTTCTTAATCTCTACTGATTAAGCTTATGAAAATCAAAGCACTATAAGCATATTTTCAAAGACTTTTGAACAGACTTCCTTCTACATGACATGATATATGAAAGAAAACTAACATTACAACATTAGGCAGGTGATAAAACTCAAGGTAACTGGTTAATGCCACTCTAGTAGCTGTAAGATGGCACATAGCAGGTTTACTTACATTCTTTGGCTACCATTTACAGTTCAGCCACCAATAATAATTTTACATTTGCTGCTTGTTATCTTACAGTACAGCAATCATAGAAGGTAATATTTTCTTTGAATTTCTATATTAAATACCAGGTCTGTAACAAAAAGAAAAAAGACAATAAATTACTTGAGAAAGTGTTTTTCAATTATATGGGGTATTTTCTACAACTAATATCTAGACCCGATGTCTTATGTTGTGCTATTAAAATAAAAACAACAAAAAAATTATCAATCTCAACATAAATGTTATTGATCTGTAAATTTTGTTTAAATAAGGAAAAGCTTCCAAGAAATTTTCATTCTGCATTGCATGGATACCAAAAATGAGTTACAATATGACTCAAAAAGACAAACTCCTGATTTAGGCAACTCTGTAATTCACAGACAACCAAGAGATTGTACCACCCTGAGTGACATAGTCTTGGAGACTATCTTGGTCACCTCCAAGATAAAGTTAGAAACGATGTCCTGAGCAAGCTTTAGAAAACCATAACTGCACAAAACGCTGACTGCACGCTCCCCCAGAACAGCTTAGCACCAATACCTCAGACCACATTTCCACAAAATATCACACCAAAATTATTACTCTTTCTGTGCAACAGAAAACAATCCATTCCAAACACCATGCAATTCCATTGATATTCTGATCTCTAGAAAACTAATTTTGTCTACAGAAAAGACAATGTCTCCTAGAGACAAAGCTTTTCCAGAACTCTGTTCAAGACTTTTATGCCATCCCAGTTTGCAAGCCACACTTGATTAATGTATCTGCCAACATAAAAACTTCACATAATGCATACTAGCCCTCCCCACTCCATAGAAATTGCAAACCAATTATGATAAACAGTAGTCTCACTGCCTATTTACTTTATTGGAAAATGCTCACTCACCAGAATACAACAACTAGAGTGGAATAAAAAAAAAAAGAACCCTAATTCAGTCCTATCTCTCTAACCGCTGTTATTCCCCAGTCAGAAACAGTCATATGTTACTATTCTGAAGGAAAATTCTGAACTGAGGATGTGTAAAATGACTGCAGAAGTAACAATCTTACATAGCTGGAGCTGTCAAGTTACCAGTGGTTGCACACTGTGTAAAGAAAATCTCTTTATAGGTACCAAAACAGTCTCAAAGTTGGAATGACTTAGTGATGAAAGGAAGCCAGTTCACCCAATTCTACATATATCGAATTGGATTTAATTATCTCAACTGCATATCACAGAAACTAATTATCTTATCTGAAAATTTTTAAACACAGGCTTCACTGAATTGCAGAATAACTATTTAAAAACATGTAAGAAAGAGATCAGAGAACTAAAAGACAAAGTGCAGTTAAACAACAGGGATACAGAAGACCAGGAACTTCAATCTCTCTCTTTTTTCACAAGAGAACGGTGAAGACTTGGAACTTACTCATAAGACCTTCAATCTGTTCAGAAGGTCACTGTTGAAACAAGGGAGTTGGGTGGCAGGCTCTGGTCATTTTGGTCTTAGGAAGTAGGATTAAAAAGGTGTGCTTTTGACCAAGAATCTAACATACTTTTGGGAAAAGAAGGATTTTACATCAGCTGCCATTTACTGAATTTCCGTCATCTTCAATTTCTAGCTTATGCATGCCTATTGCCACAATAAATAAATAAATAAACAAACAAACAAACTACTAGACCTCTAAACTTAGGCCAAAGGACAAAAGCAATGAGCAATCATTGTGGTTGACCTCTAAACGGTAACTCCGGTTTCAGTAAGACACTACTGCTGCTACCTTTGCCTGGATAGCCTGATAGTGTTACAGAGATACAAATATGCAAGTAAGTGCAGGAATTTATTTCAAGAAACACACAGAAAAGTGGTTAAATGAACACTATGCAGAACCACTTTTGTTTCTAGTCACAAATGACTATCACAGCAGCCTTACAAAACCAACTCATAACACTGTATATACTGCAGTTTGTGAAGATTATTTGTCAGGTACATTCTCTGGATATGAACATGTTAATTATTAACTTATTCTCCTGTCCTATTCTTCAAATGTCTTATAGAAAGATGAGTAATAGCACAAGACTCCTGTTCATACTCCTGATTTTCCCCTCCCCCTGTTACTGTTGCAGCATGAGAGGCAGGGACTTCACGTTTAGACACAATAAACAGAGATTACATTCCTTTATTAAGGTGTGCCAGAAACCTGAGATCCTTCAGCCAAAAGTATTGTAACACATTCCCTGTAATTATTATGCAATATTACAGTCTTCTACTACAGCAGGAACAGTAATTTCATGGTTAGAATCCTACCCATTCACTAGAAAACTGTTATACAGCACCCTCAGAAGGAAGGATTTTTAACAGAAAAGGACTTTGAATCAAAAAGATAAAACAGTAAGAAGCTTGCATGATTAAGCTTTATCACAACGCTGTAATTTAACACTTTTTTACACATGCACATTTTTGTAAATTGTCTTAAAGGCATAATGACAGTAAGTACTTTTGTTGATTTAACTTATGCAATTCTGCACGAAAATACTTTTAATCATTTGTATTTCTAGAAATCTATATAATTTCCAATTCTTAACACTGTAGATAGCTGCTTCCTAATAAATGACTGAAAAATCTGAATACATAACTCCAAAAAATCTCCAGGGTTACAACTTTATTTTTCCAGTTAGAAAAACTCTCAAAACATTCAGTATTTTTAGAAATCAAAAATACTTGCTTTAAATAAATGCAAACCTAATTATGAAGTCAGGCACAAAGCATTCTAAAACTCTGTTTTTCAGCTTCTTAATTCCCTGATTTCACCATTTTTTTCAGAGAACAAAGAAATGGAAACAAAAATCTTTTAACACAAGTATCATACTACAGCTCTATACGCAAGTGGATTAAAACATAAAAGTTAAAACCCGATATACCTGCATGACACCTGGTAGAACGGATATCCCGGTAGAGAAACAGAGTTTGAAAATCCAGACTGACTTGACATTGCCTTCAGGTATTGTATCCACTTAAATCGCTTCTATATTCCATATGCTCATTCCTTACAAAAAGAAACGTGTATGTATGTATCCATCTGTACATTCATTCAAAGCTAACTAAACAGAAACCAAGAGCACATTCGAAGGTCTTCAAGATTCTGTCTGCATTTCAAACTGCTTCCTCAGTAGTGAAATTCCTAAAAGCCAACACCCTCATGACATCACGTTCTACAAAATGCAATTGTTTCAGTAAGGCAAGGACAGCCCGTTGCTTTTGACTCGCCATCAAATCCTGCACTGCATTCTTCTTGAAAACACAGTGCCTCTCAGGCTGGCGAGAGGCAGAGACCCGCTGCCTTCCCCAGCAGCCCTGCTTTGGCAGCCAGCCAGCAACCAGCAGAACTTATTGCCAATGCCGCAAATCCCTCCTAGCAGCTAATGAAGACCCAGACTGCAGGTGAAACACGATTTTAGCCTATGAAAAGAATTTCCTTGAAAATGCACGAGATCCGTGACCTTGGACTTCGGGACAAAAAATAGATTTTTAAAATTTCAGTCAAACGTACAATGCACGCTTGTATTATCAGCAACATCAGCTTGCATTGCACTACACAGTAGTATGAAAAATCACGTTGAGATTTCCCCTGGTAAAAAAGAATTCTATCATGCTACACTCTCAACTATGGGAAAAGCAGGAGGGAAGACTCGGAGACAGAATCTTAAACCGCATTATTTCAGCTACTGAATATAGGAATAAAATTATGTGCATGCATTCCTGTAATATTTTACTACCGTTTAAATAAATATAAAAAGCTGTATTTCTTTTGATATACAGTACTATGGTAAGTTATGTGAAAGTTTATTTGGCCACACCTTCCTTGGGAGAGGAAAAGACAACTAGAAAGCAGGAAGACACATGGGTAGCCCCAGCATAGCAGCATGACTAATGTCAAATAAGACTTAAATTATTATCTACCTACACCATTCTAAGAGCAAAGGAGGTGTACAGTGACCTCACAGGAAGCCTTATTTAATATTTTTCTTAAACTAAACAGAAAAGATTTAAAACTATTCATTATCTGTGCTAGCTGCACTGGAAAACATTAAAATGTAAAATTTAATACCTCTAGCCCATGACATACTATTTATTCTCATTTTATTTTGCTTTGCAGGTTTGGAAAAATGTGGAATTGGTCTCATTTGGTTTAATCACAAGTTTGTAATCAAAATCTCAGCCATGAGGAAAATAGTTCTAAATTGTTACTATTAAAGGTACATTAAAAAAAAAAAAAAAAAAAGGGAACTTGTTCTTCTACCTTAAATGTATCTTAAATTTACAACTAAATCTGATCTCAGTGAAATGTTTAGTTTCTTGTTCATACAACCCAATTGTTTTAATACTGTTTTAACAGCACTCTGATGTCTTACATTGCCTAACATTATTTGTCAAGGGATAAAAAAAAGAGTTGTTTATTTGTGAAACATGGTAACAACATTCCAAATGAAGATGAAACAGTAGGAGGGGAAAAAACAAAACAATCACAGGTTACAGAATAAGGGCTCAGTCCACAAAAAGATGGGAATGCTTATTAATTACTTCTGCATATGGTCACCAAGAGTTCAGTCAAGTAATTGACTATTCCCACTAGATACAACTTAGGAAACCACAAGGCCATTTTACATAATAAATGCAATTTACACGTGCACAGAGAATAACATGCATCAATCACTACACATAGCACCATTTTCTGAAGTCCTATAAAAATGCCAAGATAACATAAACAGAGCACATTTTCCCAAAGAATATTTTTTATTATACTAGCACAACTGATATGTCTGGAAAAACAAACAAGCTTCTGGGCACGTTGTTTTGCAGAAATTTTTATACCTCTCCTGGCTGCAAATAAAAAGCTTGAAAATGCAATTCAAGCACAAATGATGGTGTGGTATCAGCTGCATTTTTACAGACTTGAAAAAGCAGCTTTTATAAACATAATCTCTCTCATGTCTAATATGGAACATTTATTCAAACCCCATGACTCTCAAAAACTACATAGATAATAGGGGAGGGGGGGGGGGAAAGGCAAAAAAAGCTGAAGCTGTGTTCATGAGAGAAAGAGAAAGCTCTACCAGGCTTGAGTCAACTTTCTCTGCAGCCTCATCAGGGATGTGAGGACAACTACTGTTACCTTTCAACCCTACAGCCACAACTGTTGAAAGGCCACACAAGCCATTTGCTATACACCTGTGGTTGGACCTGATGAGCCATCTTGTGTGCACATCCCTGAAGCACCTGCATTTCTAACCTGTGTGTTTAGAATTTTTTATTTGGTGCCTCCTTGACTCCGATAATCACAGTATTATCACATACATGCAGCAATTCTCACTCTTCTCAGTCCCAACCCTGGATTTAGGGTGTTTCCATTTGATTTGCCAGCTGAAAAGAATGTTAGCATCAAGTCAGCAGATTACAAGCTTATAAACCAAGAGTTCTTAGAGGCTGCCAGTGCCTTGCCATGCCATTTTGCAAAAATCACTTAGTCCCTTAATGCCCAGCTTATCTACATAATAAGGAAAATACTGGCTGACAGCAAAGGAATGATGTGAGGTTAATTTTTTTTTTTTGTAATTAAGTATTGAAATCCTCTGATTAAAGATTTATGAAGGGATAAAACAGCTGTAGCATTTGAGGGGAAAGATGTGTGGGAATATTCAAAGTAGAGATTTCTTTTTGTCTCCTGCTCCTAGCTCTAACACAACAAAAGCATTATTGCTCTGAAATTTCAATTTAAATATAAAAGCCATTTAACCTTTAAATTGTGGTGAAACCTAAACAGTTTTTAAACGGTGAACGGTATATTTACAGGAAAGCTGGAGAGGGACTTTTTTGTGCTTTCTTACTGCCTTGTGAGCCATGTAGTCCTGGAGAGAGGCACCATCTCCTACAAAGGGCATGCAGTGATAGGAAGTGACAAGAGGTAATGGGTGCAAGTTACTGCTGTGGAGATCCCCACTGGACACCAGAAAAAACTCACTATGAGAACAGTCAGACACTAGAATTATCTCCCCAGAGAAGTGGTGAACTCCCCAACACTGGACACTTTTAAGACTCTGCTTGAGAGGGGGCTAGGCCATCTCATCTTAACTGTGTTCCTACCTAGAAAGGTTGGATCAGATGATGCTCGAGGTCCCTTCCAGCCTGGCATAAGCAAGATGACAACAGGCAGACAAAATCTGAATTTAAGATTATCTTTACAGAAGCAGGATCCTTAATTGGCAAGCAGCGTACCAGTTCAGTGATCTGGAAATAGGAAGGGAAAGTGTGGCATGAGAGGAAGAAAGGGGGAAGAGAAAATCTGGTAAGGATCAAAAAGAAAGCCTCCACACAATGATATCCAACACTCAGCAAGTGCCTCTTTTCTTTCTTTCCTCATGCAGGCATGATTACAGTACAGAACTACGTCTGGGATCCAGACCTACTTGCCAAACACCATCTCCAATAAAAGAGACAAGCAGGTTTCATTCCAACTGCAGTCATATTTGTTTGAGTTTTACTTCCCTGTTTTAGTGCCAACAAACTTACCACATTAGCATTGTTTGGCAGAGCATGCCATATAGTACTTATTACTATGCTGGAACAAAATTAAACAAAGAAAATAAGTTTCAGGCATGAATACTGTTGTGTTCCAGAATGTACAGTGACCTTAATACTGTATTAACTGACCTGTTTGCCATCATAGCATTTAATGCTGCTACTTGAAAAGGTATGCAAGACTTAAGTAAGGTATAACTGCACTTCAAAAATCAGGGATAGGCTACAAGATTGGAGAAAAGCAAGCCCATGGCCACTTCCAGGTACTTCACACAGGCAACATCCTTGGTAAACTCATGGAAAATTAGTTTAAACTAAAATGGCAGAATGAAGGAGAAACAGAAACTAATCTCATTACTGGAAATCTCATCAGGTTCATCAAGTCTAGAAGTGAAAGCAGGCACATTGTATACAATTATGTGATGCTATAGCAAAATGCATATAAAATGTTTAATATTCATTAAAACAGAATGAAGAATCATGTAGAAATTATTATAACATCAATAGCATATATCAGTAAACTATTCCCATCCAAAGTGTTTTCTTTTATGTTTACCCTGCCTGCTAAGAAATACATTACAGACACTAAATTAGAAGGAAAAAATTATAGGACATGTAGGAAAAGATCAGTACATGGAAATGAAAATACCTGTATTAATTTACAAAGACAATATTACAAATATATTCAATGTCATGAGCAGTATTTAAAAGACAAAGGAAAGGTCTTTTCTTTCTTTCTGTAGAAAACACAAGAATAGGGAAATACTCAACAACACGGAAGAATAATGGCAAGTTTGAAACTAAAGGAAGACACTATCACAAAAAAACCCACTCAAGGTATATATAAAGACTAACTATGTATGTGTGTGTATGTATATATATGTATGTGCATATATATATATGTGCATACACACACACACACATATATATATATATATACATAAACCAAAAACAAATCCCAGAAGTGATAATAGAAAAACACTGGAAGGAAGCAGACTTGAAAATGACACCAGACCTTTCTCACCCATTGAGAAAACAATCTAACCTAACTGCCAAAGGATTTGTTTTGCTCCTTTCTAAGGCAGACCAGTGGCTTCAATGATAATGCATAATCTCAGCAGTACTCCCAAGTTTGCTGGTCAGACAGCTGATCTAAGGTTAATTTTTTTCCATTTAGTTTCCCAAAAAAACTGAAGTGATCATTGTCATATAAGCAGATACAAAATAAGCATGTTAGTTTGTGTTTTCAGGCAGGCTACCTAATGAAAAACAAAGTGGGCAACCTCTGAAAGAAAACGGGCATCACATGAAGATTTTGTATTCTGCCTTAAACTGGGTTTTCCAAAACAAAAATCACATTTACCTTCTCCCCCTCTTCTACCCTACCTTCTAGTCTGTCTATTTCCCATTTACCTG